GGGGCTCAATCCCAGGACCCCAGGATCATGACCTGAGCCGAAGGCAGCCGCTTAACCGAATGAGCCACCCAGGCGCCCCAAAACCCTCACTTTCAAAAGGAGATTGAGACTGAGAACATTTTCCATCCTTTACAAAAGTCATGTTAAATTTTGTCCTTTAAGCTTCATATAAATGGTTTGATCTCCTTAGAGATTTTCTGTTTATAAGACTATAATAAACTTCACACTTTCAGTACTACATGCAAAAAGTAAGATTAAGAGTACAAGTGGGGAAACATACTTCAAGATAGGCCAAAAGACTACATCAAAAAAGTAACCATCTTCCCTTACTAGCTGCAGTGAACTAACGTTAACTGCAATTAAACATCAAAGTTATCTTTTTTCAAGTACTATCTTTAAAATAACCATGTTGTGACAACAAGAACACAGTCTAAGCTCCAAAAGAACTGGTTTAAGAAAAGATAAAGTTTACATGGATTTGCATAGTAAATGTGTTAGAAAAATCTTAATACTAAAAGGAATCCTACTGTGAAAGTAGGAGCATAAGGTCTCTCACCTGTATTACGTATATAAATCCATTATTCTTATATACCAGGCTTGCATAAAGTGAGGATACATTGGTAATCTAAAGCAATTTATACACCCAGGAAATGACTTGATCAGCCTCTTAAGGCACAACCACATAAAGCAGAATCAACATAAATTTTAAAACCTAGCTCCCTATTCCTTTCTGCTTTTCTCTCTCTAACATCAGCTATATAATCCATATGCCTGCTAGCTGTTAAGCAGCTTCTCATTTAAGCATTTAAGCAACTTCTAATACCCAAAGCACACTCAAAAGCCCAGGAAGATCAAGGACATCTGGAAAGGTGCCTCAAAGCTCAAGTGCTTTATTTATTTTTAAAAAGCATTGATACAGGGTGCCTGGGTGGCTCAGTCAGTTAAGCATCTGCCTTCGGCTCAGGTCATGATCCCAGGGTCCTGGGAATGAGTCCCAGGTAAGGCTCCCTGCTCAGCGGGGAGTCTGCTTCTCCCTCTCTCTCTCTCCCTCTTCCCTACTCGTCCTCTCTCTCAAATAAAAATCTTTTAAATAGGGCGCCTGGGTGGCTCAGTTGGTTAAGCGACTGCCTTCGGCTCAGGTCATGATCCTGGAGTCCCTGGATCAAGTCCCGCATCGGGCTCC